TGTGGTGACGCCCGGCAGCGATCCTGTAGCTGAACGATTTGTTGTTTTCTTTTAAAATCTTCCCGCTTCGGGGCAGCGAGGTGGCAGCCGGGGGAGCGGGGCTAAGCTGGGCTTCGCCATCCGGGGGCGGGTTGAGTGCTGCTGAGGGGGGTCGCTGAGGGAAATGGGTCACCCTGTCAGCCTTTCTGCAGCCTGCAGACTCGGGGTTTGGGTGAGAGGAGTGGCTGCCAATATTCAAAGAGGCGCTCAGGAGATTATTTTTAGGATAGGATCCACCATGCTTCTGTCCCATCGCGGACTGCTGTTTGGTTTGTGGCCCCGTGTTGCTTTTTTAAAATGGAGTTCAGGTGCTTTTCTTCAGATAGCGAAGGGGGGAGGGAAGAGAAAACGTATTAGTGGAAGGAAAGATAGATTTGTGAACTGTTGCTTAAAAGCAAGGAAAATATTTCATGTGTTGCCATGTCTGAAGACGCTTTATTGGAAGAGGACATTTGGGAGTACAAATCCATTAGGAAGCAAAAGCATCAGAGCAATTCAGAGAGCGTCTCTACACCTGTGCAGAAAGTAAGCGATGGCAAGTGCAGGCCAAAAAGAAAGAGAAATAGAAATAAAAAGAAATGCGTAGAAAAAAATGATTCGCTTCAGAAACCCGAGCAGAGATCGGAGCCAAATCAGGATGTAGATCAAAGTAAAGATGACGGTAGTGTGCACTCCCAGGATAGCGCGAGTAGCCTGACGGAACAGAGCTCGCAAAATGCAAAGCCCGTTCATGATGGATACTGTCCGAGCTGCCAGATGCCTTTCTCTTTGCTATTGGTCCAGACACCTCGATGGCACGTTGCTGAATGTTTGGATACTCCAGGATCCATTGAAAAAGGTATGAACAGCGTACGCAAAAAGCCTTGAGAGAAAAGTTAAAGGTTCCTCGCATAATGTTGCTGTAAACCTTGGGTTTCATATTTAGTTCAAATTCTGAGATGGTAGTTGGTATGATTTTTAGAATGTTATTAGTGATAATTTATCAGTATTATTTTCATATGAGATTTTTTGGGGTTTTTTTTGTGGAGAAGATGGAAATCTGACAGGAAAATCTCATATGAGAAACTAATCTCAAAAGTTTGCAGAGTAGCGATAAAGATTCATAGTTGTTTATCGAGCTCCAGTTTCAGCAGTTTATTGAAGAAATTGAAGGTGCATATTTACCATTTTAACATAATGGAATCTATTTCAATTACTAAGTCAGTGTCAGCAGAAAAACCTCCTTCAATTAAGAGGCTGCTACTTCTGACGCCAAATTTCTTTTTCCTTAGGTATAAATTTTATTATCCTGTATCCATGTTCCTGTGTGACTTGTTCAGTTGTCTACGGACAGTTGGAAACTGAAATCAATCTGTTAGGCTGATTTATTTGAAATGCTAGCCCATGATCCAGTATGCTTTAGAAATTTTGTACAGAATTATACAGTAACATTCCCGTTTAGTAAGACAATACAGTTTTGTTTTGACTTCTGTATGAGAGGAATAAAACTGACTCATTCCGGTTGCCAGTTTCCTTTGGGAAATACTGTGTCTGAACAGACCCAGGTATCCAACGTATGTTCTTACTACACCTCATAACTTCTGAAAAACAGAAAGCATACAGTCAGGAAACTTGAGTAAAGGCTGTTTAGGTAACAGAGTCACTTCTGGTTTTATATCTTTGTAACTTTCCTTGAAGTTTCTTCTTCAGAACAATGAAATGTGAGCCCTTTAATCCCCATTTTGGCAGTAGTATTAACTTAAGGCAGATGTGTTAACACCTCATTTCCATCTCTTACTCCTATAATTAACAGATGAAAAATCCTTCTGATTGACTGATTTTTGCATTCACCTTAATCCTCAAAAGTTAGGCTAGCAAACTCTCAACAAAAAAGGCTTAGGGAACATCCACAGCTTTTTTTGCTGGCATCTGAATCCTGAATAAATTTTTTTCACATAAGTAAATACATGACCTTTTTATTTAGCTGGTTAGTTATTTAATCTGTAACCCCACAAACAATTTGAAACGGAATTTCAGGTTGATTCAAAACTGAGATTTGGTTTGTTTTGAAACATGTCTACTGGTGTTTTCTGGTGCTACTGCTCAGCTCATTGCTTGCATGTGAGACGATTCTAAACTAGAAGCCATATGATTACATTAGCACAGTATTGAAACAAGGTTACATACTCTGGTTGTTAGAGGGCTGTATTAATTCAGGCATAGTGCTGTAGTAGCAGCAGCTGTTTGGTTTCTGGTTGGAAGCATTCTCATTTCTAGCCAGCTCAGGGCACGAGTTTTTGGCAGCTTGAAAATTATATTTTACTTGTGCCTTCTGTCCTCCAATGGCTGCGTTTATAAGAAAAAGCTTTTAAATTGTGTGTCATGTGTGATTTTTATTTTAATAATTATGCCAACTGTATTTGCAAATATATTAACATTACTTCCCTGTTTAACTGTTTTTAATAGAGTGTCCTGATGGTTTACTGTGCACTTCTACCATTCCATCCCACTACAAGCGCTATAGCCATTTTCTACTTGCAGCAAGCAGGGCAGGAGATTATCTTGTGAACTCTTCAGCAAACGCTTTGGAGAAGAAGATGACGTACTGTACTGCTGCAAAGCCCAGCTGTTCCTCAAGTCATGTAGAGGAAACTTCACAGAAGGAGAATCCATCTAATCATGTAAAAAATGCCCCAGGTGATGACTGTATGTTGATGGTACAGAGTTCACCGCAAATTAAGTCTCTAAATATAATAATTGAAAATACATCCTCTTTTCCAGACGTTCAAAAGCCTCAACAGACATGTCAGCTTACCCAGACCACAGATAATAGTTGTAAATTTGAATTTTATGACATTGCATCCTCTCAAGAAAGTGGAACAGGAGAAGACCTGTGTAGTCAGAAAGATACAAGTCAGCCAAGTCTATTACAGTCAAAAGCTGACTTCAGTGACTGTGAAATTTCTTATTCTCCACTGAGTACTTTTGAGGAAAGTGAAGAGGAAACTGAGGAAGGGGAGAAGAAGGTGAAAATATCACAAAATAAATTATTCAAAGTCCAGAACTCTGAAGATGAAGAATCTAATTCTGTGGCATTTAAATCATCTGGTGGACTTTTCTTACAGCAGACGCCTCAGTATGAGCATACCAAAATTGGAAATTTCATAATTAAAAAAACCCACTGTGAGGAAATAAATACAGTGAACCATCTAGATCATAGTGTAAAAACTATTCCTCAGAGTCACATGAACAGCAAGTTCTGTAATTCAGCATGTGTAGACAATCAGCATCAGCAAGAGGTGCTAGCCAGTGGATCCTCTTTTCCTTTTAATTGCAAGGAGGCTGAACAGCCAGAATTTATTTCTTCTGCTGCTGAAGCAGGTAACGCCAAGTCAGAAGATACCGGTGCTTGTGATCTGGATTCTGCATACCCAAGTTTTACCGAGATGTCATCACTGCTACTTAGAGAAGGTACTGGGTCTCTTCTGACACAGAAAAGGATCACTTTGAGGGACCCAAGTAACATTTTGACGAACGCAGATAAAATGACTGCCAATACAATTGAAAAAACAGCTTGTCAGGAGAATTTGCAGTCAGTAGTGAAGCAAGGAGGAAATCTTAATACAGCTGCTGTTTGCTTTCCCAGCCCCATCTCTAAAACAGTGTCATGTCTTTCTTTAGCAAGTATGAATGCAAAATCCAGTTCTGCCAAAGAACTCAAACAAATGGACATTGGTGTTTTCTTTGGGTTAAAACCCAAAGTAAAAGAGGAAAGCAAAGGAGAGACTCATTTGAGTGAGGGAAAACAGATACCAAGTTCAGTAACTCCCAATGGAAAGAGGCCCAGACAGCAAAAAAGGAAAGCTGAAGAGTCTGTGGAAGATGTAGAAGCAGTCGTAGAAAGTTCAAGTGCAAATGGAGCCTTTGCAGATGTGAGTTCTGGTGGCCAACGAAGGTGGAGAAAAAAATTTAAAGAATTACCTACTACAGGTGAAGGAACAAGAAAAAAACACTGCCCTTTCTACAAGAAAATACCAGGTGAGAGGTAACTCTTGCTTTTTGTAGAGGTTAACTAATTTTGGTTTGAGTGTTGTATTTGTTTTTCCTGACTTTAGGCTTCAGTATTCTTCACTCTTCATAACCATTTAAACTACAGCTCATAATGAATTTTCTTTCCTCCATCTAAGTTGATAAAATCTGGTGTAGGTGCAAATCTCCAGAAGAAGGCGATTGCAGAACTAGAGTCAACAATGGCTTCATCAGCGAAGGACAGTGAAATAGTTATCTCATGGAAGTTATTTCAAGGATTGACTTTTGCATGTTTTTGACAGAGTGAAAAACATAAGCAGTATTGAAAGATCGATCTACTTTCTTAAATGATTTTGAATATATCCCTTATTAATATTCACTCCTAATTACTGAATTGAATCGTTTACATTGCTTCAGTTGTGCCAGAAAATAGAGCTGTCAGTAGCAATTATTTCCTTATACTAAGTTTAAAAAAAAAAATCAGTTTAATTTTGTATTTGAAATTCACGAGTATTAGAAATGTGGAGTACTAGAACTGTGAAAACAAAGAAATGAAAACCAAGCAGAAGAATTTAGCTAAAGAAACAGCCAAGAATTTCCCAGAATCTCCTGAAGCAATTACATAAAGTACAGGATGATGGATTGGTGGCTTAAAAAGCTTCAAATCCTCACAGTTCTGTTTACCACTAAAGGACTGTCTTAGTCTTAGGTAGATATTTGAGGAAGCCAAATAGAAATATGTTAGTGATCCTAAGTGCCAAGCTCCTGCTTGAAGACTGACCTGTAATTCTTTGTGGGGTTATACCAGTATCATGGGTTCCATGGGCCTAGAGAATTTTCCATATAGAATAAATGTGAAGAGCAGACTCCTATGTCTACAATGCAATTTTAAAGTTGCTTTGTTATTATCTATATTATATTTGTTCTGATTTTTTTTTTTTTTTGCTACATTTGAAGTATATTTGACTTTATTTTTGTGTTGGTAATGATATGTATTTATCCCCAGGGCCTAGTATAATTCAGCCTCCCTGAAGTTTTGAGTCTGGTGCCTCTCAAACACTTGGGAATTTTTTGGGTTGTGATTTTTAATTAGCAGAGTGCTATGTTTTTTTGGAGTTGCTAATACTCGAAGTTGTAGCTTCAAGTAAGTAGAACTATTTCTAGTTCTCCTAGAAGATCTGGCAAATTTATGTAACATGAAATGAAAAATATTCGAGTGCCATCAGATGAATTAGTTCTATGCGC